ATTGAACATGGTAAAAAACTGTAAATTGACCGTCCAAAATATATTTTGTACTTATAGTGAAAACTAACCTTGGATGATGGGTTAGTAGACTAAAAGCTTTAGGAATCCAAAGTACAACATATAATAATTACCCTGTATCAAGATTGATGCAAAACAAGTGATATTTGACCTTTTTAGACAGATTTAGCAAAGAAAACCTCTTCTGGGGCCATTTGGGTGGATTTTCCTTATCTCTGGCCCCCCTTGTTCGATTTTGACATGTGACATCTCTTTCTGACCGTTAGAGCCAATAGAATCCAAGGTAAATCGTCCCACACACACTCATGTTAAAAAAAAGGTAGCCTCTCTGCGCATGCTAGCTTGCCTTAGAGGGGAGAAATATCACTGCTCTGATATCAAGCAACGGAAAAGCTGTTTTATTGCTTATGGATTATCAGAACATTTCAAAGGGGACGCAGTCACATTGGATTAACCTATGGATTAACTACACCATCGTTTTTATGGTTTTAATGCCATTGAAGACCAGTTTAGACCAGACAAAGACGAAGGTAAGCCATGTTAGCGTTGTGGGCTACCTAGCGCCACTTGTTGTGATGTACGTTTTTGTTGATAACGTCGCGAGTTTGTATCTTTCAGTGTTGAGGTGGGCAGCGTTAGATTCTGTGTCTCCTTGCGATCATAAGCGATGTGTTGGATGTGCACCTAGGATAAGTAATAAGGGAGCTAGGAGTGATTATCGGTGCTGTAATAGGTTAGCATTTTTCGCTCAGGGGTCATTTAGATGCTTCTTATGAGACTTGTGTTTTGTTTTGGTAAAAATGGTTTGTATCGTCAGTTAGCTGAGATTATTCCCGTTAATCTGGTATAACACATTAATAGGTTCTTAAATATTAAGATCCCCTGAGACACAGTGTCGTGAAAAAAAAAACTAAAGTACCCGCCGGCGGGGACCTTCGGGCTTAACAGGTTAATAACGGCACCATGTAAGTTGCGCTGACAGGCGACAGAGGTCCACAGTTGCCCCGCAGCGAGGCTACCCCGCCCTCCAGTAGACAGTTCACGAGCTCAGTCACTTCATAACACCAAAGATGGGTGCACGCGCGCGCGTGCGCGCACGTGTACGCACGTGTACGCGTGTACTGCCCCGCCCCCTCGCACACAGACGGGGGAGAGAGATCTCTCGTCTGGATTGGAAAGATCGTAAATACAAAAAAATCAGTGTCATGGCAGTCAATCAGGACCACATCAACAACTCCTGATCCAGACGTAACCTTCGATACCAGCCAGCTGAGAGACACATAAACTCCAGAGGCTGAGTTAGTAACGCGCGTGTTTGGGACATGATTGCATATAAAGCCTGTAGCAGTATAACGAGGGGCTGGTTCAAGGTACGCCTGAGCCAGCCCAAACTATAAGCTTTATCAAAAAGGAAAGGCTTACATCTACTCTTAAATGTGGAGCACAAATTTGATGCTGCTTCATCAGAAAAGTAGGCTAAAGTTGCACGTGTTGTTGGGTTCCAGAAACCTTTATTGAAGGCTCCAGGGAGCTACAATATTGGCAAATTGTTAAAAAGATTGAGAGAAAATGTTATCCATCTGCTAACCCTAGCGTTGAACTAACTGGTCACGCAGGAGGCTGAACTATGGGAGATGTAGATAGAAATGTTGCTTATAAGTTAAACTTTTGGAGAGGAGAGAACATGTTGTTAGCCTTCTGCTAACCCTTTGTTGCAGCTGTGAGCTTCTTGCTGCGTCTAGCAGAAGCTAAACTATTAGCAAAATGTTCTCTTTTAAAAAAGAAACATTTTCCGCTTGTGTAAGTCTCTTTAAAAGGAAAAATAGGCCAACAAAACTGTCTTCCCAGCATTGTCTGACGTGTTATTAGACTTATTCTGCTTACGATCTGCCTACAAAAAGATGTCATGTTTACGCCATCTAGCTCAATGAATCCGAGTTGCACGCAAGATACTGTAAGCTATTTTGTCGAGTTGCCTCTTAATGAATGCTCTTTAATATTTAGTTAATTATTTAGTTTGAACATCAGGGAATGAGTTGTAAGGAACTGACCGATAAGGGCTCCATGCGGAAGAACACAACCAGGATATAGTAAAGTTTGGACACATCGGTCGGTAGGAATCTGGCCCAACATGTTCAATGGTCAGGTGTTTAATTAATAACTGCAATATCACTGCTACAATCAAAGCTTTAAACTGTAAGTGACATCCTTCTGAGTCAAGAAGCTCTTACAAAGGAGAGTATGAGAATGGCCTGCTGTGAATCCTGCTGATCTATTCATTTAGGCTCAACACATTAGTCCAACAATATAAGAATCTTCCAGGACCAAAGAACATTTTACAGGAAAAGGATTTGATCTAACATGGATTTGTCCTTCAGTTTGCATTATCAAGGGTGTCCATAGTTAGTTCACTGCATGGACAGCCCCAAATCTGTCTTCCAGAGGCTAACATGGGGTGCCTGCCCTGGTACTATATCTGAATATCCCTTTACAGACATGCTTTATGCTAATACAATGCACTATAAATGTGTTATTTTTGCCTAATATCTAAATGGATTCTTCATGCTTGGATGTCCATGGAGTTGCTTAGATTTGGTATGACTAAAAGCTTCTATGATTCTTGTCGTAAAGGTCCCATGTCATGGCCATTTCTACTGATCATATTTCCATTGTTGAGGTCTACTAGAATAGATTGACATTGTTCAATGTTCCAAACTCACATTGGTTTCTCACAGCATCTCTGTATAGTATGTGCATTCACTCTCTGTCCTAAATGGCTTGTTGGAGCTCCTGCCCCCCCCCTCCCTGTGAGCCCAGTGGCCGACAGCTAAACCATCCCGAACACACACACACACACCCGCACTCTGGCTGGGAGTTTGTGTGTGTGCTCACACACCGACTCAGAGCTTCGCCGCGTCCCGCCGTCTCAGGGAGGAGAAATCGGCGGAGCTGCAGCTGAGAAAAGATTGAGTGTGTGAGGAAGTCCGCGGATTGGTCGATTTGGACCAATCCACGGAGGGGTCGTCGTTACGTCACTTGGCTCCCTGAAGAAAATGTTTTAAAAAGAAAATGTCCAACGAGGCGTTCTGGGGCAGCACAGACAGGTCTTCTCTGTGTTAGAGTTTTACTCGCTACAGGGTGCACTTTGAGGGTTTTGACTCTGCAGACCGTTTACATGCAGAAGCTACATAACAACAAGGGGACGGGTCAGAACCAGAAAAGCATGACATGTGACCTTTAAGTTCTTGTTCACTTTATCTCATACATCCCGAACAGCCCCTTCCTTTTGAAAAAGGGACTGAATGGTCAGAGGTTAAACTACTGCTTTAAGATCAGGTTGAACTGTTTGAAATGAGGAACACTGTCTATTATCAATAACCAAAAATACAAATATTTAGTGAAAAACATTATCAATCCTCAGAAATTCAAGTATATATGAAATTGAATAACAGGAGGACAAATGATGCTACACTTGTCTGTGTACCTATTTTTGAAAGATGAATACAAGTAATTTGTCCCACGTGTTATCAAAGTGAATGTAACACACTGTCTGACTGTTCTGCAGATACCTAAAGTATTTGACCAAGAAGTACCTGAAGAAAAACAATCTTCGCGACTGGCTGCGTGTTGTGGCTAACACCAAGGAGAGCTACGAGCTGCGCTACTTCCAGATCAACCAGGATGAAGAGGAGGAGGAAGATGAAGATTAAATATACAATTAATCAGTTTTTGTACATTTAAATAAACGTTGTTTACAGTACAGAAGGCGTGTCCCGTTGCCTTGAAATGTTTTTCATCACAGGAAAGTAAAAAACAACCTGGCTCGCATGTTAGTAATCTTAAGATTTAACTGAATGAACTTTTACTAGTCTCTTGTCTTGTTTCATAAACTGCTTAGACATTAAGAGTACACTACTCAGTGAGTTAGGTCAAATAAAAAGCAGTACAGCTAGAATTGTTTTGGCGCTCTACTGTTAAAGGTGGGGTAGGTACGTTTCAGAAACCGGCTCCAGATACACGTTGTTATATTCCATGGAATGCTCTTAACATCCCGAGAGCAATGAATATCTGAAGTGCTTTGACAACAAATCCATTAAAAAATGTCATCTGTGGAAGCCGTAGCGCTGTAAAAAGCACGACCAATCATCTGAGCCGGCTAAAGTAACTGGATGGCCTACCTGCCTGTCAGCCTTCCATCTGGGCACAAACTTATCTCGTGCCCTCATTGGTCATGTGCGCGTTCCTGTGTGTTGGAGGAGGGGCTCTGTGAGGAAGTGGCAGATTTGTTCCGGCTGTGTATTTTCAAATTCTAGCACACTCAAGCTGGTTTCTCTGAAATGACCTACCCCACCTTTAAGCATGAAGTGACCATTTGGGGACACCAAATCCAACTTCTGTGCTAGAAACTGATCACTTAAATATATCATTCTCCAGTGGGACTGTCAGACGACTGTCATGACTAGGGTCGCAAAGGTAATCAAATTGTGTCATTTTGAAATGAGCCGTTCCAACTGATTTCGATTGAGCGGGTAACATGAGCACAGCCCTCTGTGGATGTCAGCATGAGCAAGAGAAAGGTATGAGGGAAATCGTGCTGTCCAAGAAAAGTGGGAGAAAGTATCTTTTCACAATGTTGAGGATGTTTGCAGACCATTGCTGTAATGAAAGTAAGCAACTTGAGCCGCCTCTGCGGCCCCCTGGTGGCCAGTACATAAATGATGAAGCCCCCACCACCATCCAAGTTGCATCCCTGCTGTAGGGGGTGTGGTCAATAGCCATGCCTAAGCAGTGTGCTTGGTGCATGTGATTGAGGAATGGCATGGATATTCAAGTGTACTTGAATGGCATCGGTTTGTTTTAGTCAAGATTATGCTAAAATATACTTTACCCAACTAGATGTAAGTTCCCTATGAAGAGCCAATTTTACAACTAATGACTGGTGGCATAGGATGTTAAAGACCAAGGACAGATATGTAGACAAATCAATTCACATGAATCTTTATTTACCATTCAAATGAAAAAACAAAGTAACCCATTTCACCATTAAAAAAAAGTATTTATTACAGGTATGAGGAAAACACCTCTGCTGTTTTTAAAACAAAGACATGCCTTAGTTTCCAGAACACCTCAAGACATGAACATGTACATGAGAAAGATTCTGTCCTGCTTCTGGAACCAGCTAAGCGCTGGAATAGTTAATTGAGCAAAGACAGATCTGGCAGACAAGAGGTCTTGGAAGGACTGACCAGTGCATTCTTGATGCAACACTGACCATAACAAAAGGAATGTAACCATCTAATGGAGTGCTCCAAATCCTGATTGTAATGTGTGGCAGCAGCACACCGCTCGTACACTGATCCGCTGAACAACACAAACAACACTTCCATATCCTGAACAAACGCGTAGAAAAAGGCACAGGAATGGAAATTGGTCTTTGAAAAGCCCTCAGTAGGAAAAGACTGAGAGTCCTGCGGTGTAGCACCTGTAAATGTGACAACTTTATATACTGCAACAAAGAAAACAACAGAACAAGACATGAACGTTTGGCTGTTTAACAAAATGGAGAAGGGTTTTTGGCGAGCAAGACTCAAAAGGTGTGAGGTGCTTTGAGCCAACTTCTGCAGGTAGACTCGAGGTGGAGATATGTTGACCATTCCTTGAGAGCTGGTGGACTATCCAGGGAATCTGTCAGTCTCCAGCCCGTGTTCTCTCATTGCAGTGTCCGAATTGGTGCAGGCAGTTTGCTGGTAGTTGAGATGTGTGGGTATCCTCTCCCCCCAAACTCATCCGTCCCACTTGTAGACCAGCAGAGACAAACAGGCGGGCCATGCTCCGGGGGATGAGGTGTTGCTGATGGAGGTCCAATCAGATTGTTCGGGGGTTGTACTCTGGCAGCTTTTTCAGTCTCTCCTGTTCCTGCTCAGTATCCTGCCTGGCAATCACCAGAGAGTGACAGTAGCCCATCATCACCTGCAAACACAACACAGCTCAGATCTTGTACTTAAGTAAAAGTACCAGAGCACAGAGTGCATTCAAAATGTTCCTCAAGTCAAAGTAGAAAAGTATTCTCATCAAAATATAGTGAAAGTAGCGACAGTAAAAGTAGTCCTTGTGCAGATTGATCCATTTCAGAATAATATATATGATATGTTTTATAATGATTGATCATGAAAGTGTTCTCAAAGCTGGTAAAGGTGCAGCTAGTTTGAATGACTTTGTATACTGCAGGGTAGCTGGTGGATTTACTCCAGGTGGAACTAAAGTCTGATTCAACACTTGGTTAGATTTCACATCATTCATCCAGATCTGTAAAGTAACTAAAGGTATTAAATACATGTAGTGGAGGAAAAGTACACCATGTACCTCTGAACAAAGTAGCAACACATTTAAGTGCTCAAGTAAAGTACAAATCCGTCAACATTGTACTCAAGTACAGTACTTGAGTAAATGCACTTAATTATTTTACACCACTGAAACACAACTTGTACTAAATGAACATCATGAATTCTTCTTTAGCAAAATGTTTACCGAGTTAATAAATCTAGTTCCAAGTAAGGTCATTTTCTAACAGACTTCTACACATCTGGTTGTATTTGTACCACTAGTACACTGCCCCCTGCTGGACATTATGCAGAATGTAGCTTCAAGGGATATCAAAAATAGCTTTGACGAATACAAAAAAAAATAGAATATTAAGGCTAGACCCTTCCTCTAGTGGCGTCATCAGCTCAACACTTTGATATGGCCAGCAGTATTGTTTCTGAACTAATTCCCTACGAGCCTCAGTACATTCTACCACCATCAGTGAGATGGTGAACATTAGTACCTGCATCAACCCAGCACAGCCTCACAGCTGGATGACGGAGACTATAAGGTGGTTTAGAGGAACGTTTCATTTGGAACCCTCAATGTGGACCTTATCCACATTGAGGATAAGGTCCTTTCTATCTGGGAGTACTCAGTTTGGACATTTTCTTAGTGATCTGTTTGATTGTTTTCCCCTAATAGGAGCTGACAAGTCCAGGTACCTGCTCGATGTAGACCCCATCCAAGGTCTTCACCTCCTGAGCGGTGGTGGAGGACTTGGGTTTGTTGTCTCCATATCCCTGAAGGAACAATTTTAAAGTAAAATCAGCACCACGGCCAGTATTATCTGTAAATAAGTTGGAATGAACATTGTGTCCAGCCGTGGCCTCAGGTCTTACCAGCTCTCCAAATGTGGGCGAGGGGCCCCAGCTGATCGTACTCTCATCTGCAGCAATAATGATGCTGCTCTTCCTGGGAAACACAAACACACTCATTCAAACTCTACACAGGAGGTCAAAATTATTTCTGCAAATCCATGTAGAGCAAGTGATTCCTTTGAGGGTACCTACACTTTAGTACAAAAACGTTCCCTTGCCCATTACATCTCTAATTGATATACTATCATATATATATATATACACACACACGTCTCTGTTACTGTAGTATAAGTCTATATTTCTGTTGCTGCAGTATTTGGTCTTTTATGGAACATTTTAACTTATCCAGAATATATATTTTTTTTATTTGTGATGTGTCTTTTCTACTGTAGATGTGTTTATTGTTTTGTTTTATTATGTTTATACTATATTCCACCTTTTAAATTACAATACTAAACACACTGCTGCTGTAACAAAGGACATTCCCAATTTGGGATCAATAAAGTATCCATCTATCTAATAATATTATCATCAGGACAGATGTGAAGCTTTGTGGATGTTCTTTTAGGTCCAGACAATAAAATGAAAGCTCCTGAGGCAGAGCGGAACAGCTGGAAGGGTCCGGACTCACCCACAGGACAGGCTGCGGATCTTCCAGCCACACAGATCCTGCACAGCTTTGGGGTACATGGTGGACTCTCTGGAAGTGTTTGTCACTCCCCAGAAAAACAGCCCCCCTGCAAATAAAAACCAGATCAGACATCTCAAGTATAGCAGCACCAAACAGCATTTATTATAGAGCTGACTTGGAATTTAATATAAAAAGCCTTTGCCAAAGTGAAGTCATTTTCAAATGTGATGGTTTTAAGGTTAGACCCCAACGTCACTGAGCCCATCGGAGAGACTGTGTCTGATGATCTGCCTACCCATCTCACTGACAGCGAAGGAGCACTGGTATCCGCTACAGATCTGAGCGGCGCCACGTCCAGGGAAGTCAAACAGTTTGACGAGCCGGGGCACCATCTCGTCCTTCTGCTCCGTGTGCCCCAGCCGGCCGTAACCTCCGAACCCCCAGCTGAACACCCGCTTCTGAGAGTCCAGCACCAGCTGCAAAACAACACACGATCAATCATCCCATTAACATTTTATACAGAAAGCAAAATAACACAAATTTGTCTCAGGGAGCTGTAAAGATTGTAAACTGTCCTTACAACCTTGCAATAGAAAAAAACTCCCCACAAAAAAACAAACAAAAGGGTGGATCAAAATAGAGAGACGGATATAATTACAACATAGAACATACTATTGTGTTAAAGGAATGGTATGCTCATGACACTTATTTTTAAATAATTATCATCCGATAAAACAGACCAGTCTCTGCCAGTCTCTCTTTTTTTTTTTTTAATCCGATGACGTTATCAGTGATTTTAAACTGATTAATTACCGAAATAACATCAACACTGTGGGCGGCGCCATTTTACCGGACGTGACGTGAACCATGCGTTTGGTTTCGAGGACACGTTGATGTTCATGTTATTTACTGTAGTTACTCTCTTCAAATATGCCTCATTGTATCGCGAAACATTGCCACAATTCTGATAGGAACAATCCACGGAATGCTCGGTTCCATCTGTTGCCAAAAGGTAAGCGTAGGAAGTACGTTCGGAGGCAGTGGCTAGCGAAATGTGGCCGGCCCGAACCGAAAGATCCACAGGCGCATGTATGCAGCGAACATTTCAAGTTTCCGGACGACTACTCTGAGAGTATGATAAAACATAACATGGGATTTATTGAACAACCATTACTTAATGGAGATGCAGTACCATCGGTCTTTCTGGTGTCATCACCGACCAGGACACCAGTTCGGCCAGTTGAGAAATTGCCCTCTGCAAGTGTGAAGCGACGGAGGACCAGAAGTAGTGCTCGGAGTAAGAATAAGGTATGTTATAGCGCATTTCCATTGCAGCGGGTAGCCCCGTTTAAACGTCCTTTATCGTCCAGGCCAGGCCAGTTTTTGGTGGCCTTTCCATATAGCGTAGTACCGGCTAGTGGGTATTTTCCCCCAGTTTTTCCGGCCCCATAAAATCGTGGTTCTAGGGCCAGGGACAACGAGGCTGAGTATGCTAAACTAGAGAGGGAATCGCTAGCAAGGGTGGTACTACATGCATACATATCTAGTCATCAAAATCATTGTATGTACTAAGTAGTACTAAGTAGGCTCGAACCTGTATGGCTGAATTCCCCCATCCAATCTCTTCATATTGCTCAAAACTTCTTCCTCGGCTGACGAGTCCGAACTCAAATACTCCATGTTTACAAAGTGAACGCATGGATGACGTCACGACCATCACGTGACTACTGAAAATGGGCAAAATGGCAGCGGCCTGACGGAATATACAGGTTTTGATAAAAAAGAGCTATAAAATCATTATTTACCGGGGAATATCGCTGATTTCTTCAGGGTATGGTTTAAACATAATGTTTCACTAAATACTGAAGTTTTGATTAATTATCTAATGAGTTGAGCATTCCTTTAAGGATCATGGCATTAACTTCATCATGGCAATCAAGTCTTCTGAACAATATGATTTGGTGCTTAGGATCCTGATGAGTGTATTTCTCACTGTGTGGTTAGACCCGCAGGCCACGTCTCGGATCACCACGTTAGGCACAGGCATGACCTGGCCATCCTTGGACTTCTCGATGAAGATGGCGACACGGCGGGCGATGAGCTCACAGTCGAACTCGATGCGCTGGGCACGAGCGATGAACTTTCCATCACTGTTGTGACCTGCAAGAGAGAGGATGACTCGAGGTTAATATAATAGTATTATGTCTTGGAAATATTAATGTATATTATAATATGAATAAAACCACAATGTGTGAAACTAAACTTGTCAGTGGCCGGCGGTGGACTACCGGTAACTGTTTTTAATGACCTCATACACTCCTGAAAAAAAATCTTAAGACGAGGGGAAAAATGACAATAATTCGCATTTTGCACTAGTGGATCGTAACCAGCCGCGTTTCTCGTTTTAATGCCATTGAACAAAACTTTTGATCAGAACAGCTAAAGGTGAGCATATCTCCATGTTTTGCTACCTAAAGCTTTGTGTGGTCTGTATTTGCTTCCCCTGTCGCGAGTTCTGATCGTTCAGTGATGATCTGTGGAATCTCAGCATGTTAGCTAAGCTTGTTTGTGCAGATCCGATAAGCATATCGATCGATTTATATCTAGAGTTTTGTGCTAAGTGCGTTAGCATGTTTTCGCTCAGGGCTCATTTAGACGCTTCTTGTGAGACTTGAGGTTTTGTTTCGGCAAAAATGGTTCGTATCATCAGTTAGCCGAGTCTCTTCCCGTTAGGAAGGTATGACACATTCATCGGTCTTTAAATATTAAGAAGCCCTGAGACACCGTCGTGAAAAAAATCTGTTAAGACCCCACCGGCGCCGGCTTTCTGTCTTTGAACGTGGCAGGATTGTTGAGCTGCACAAGGCCTCTCGCACCGTCTCTGCCGAGGCTGGACGCAGTCAGACGCTCATTTTACATTTCTTAAAAGATCCTGAGGGTTGCGGGACAAAAAAAGTCAAGCTGTAAACCCAAAAACAATTCACCTGCAACAGAGTCCGGTTGTTTAGTTCACATCAGAGGTCTTAGACTGCGTTCACGCCAATCCAAACGAAGGTGTTCAACGCTCGAGGGTTCGATTCGACCGGACTATACAAGACTGGTGTGATCGCGACCTTGAACTTTTGATCAGCCCGTTTGAGTTTGAATGCAGTTTTCAATAAATTGCCTACTCCATTTTGAAGCTCTACTTACAACCTGGTTACAATCCACCAGTGCGAAATGGGAATTCTTGTAATTTTCCCCGCGGTCTTAAGATTTTGTTCAGGAGTGTATCTTTGACAGGCAGGCGCTATTACCAATATGTCAACTTCTGTAGTAAATCTTCAAATAACTGTGCAGTGTATACTTCCACCTTTAATACCGTCATCTGGCTGCTATTTCATAACTGCTACGGGTACTGGATGTGTATTTTGTAAATTGTGTAATTTCTACTCATCTGTAATACTTTTATGGATGGTTCTTAATTAATATGAAGCTATCTTTGGCTCTTTACTTGCTGTAATGTAAATGTTTCCTAAAGAATAACGGTATTCTGATTTGTGCTAAACTTTGTAAAACTGTCATCAACTTCTGATATTGGCACAAACATCTGTCTAACTGCTCACTCAGCTACTCTAATGGCGCGTTTCCACTGCAGCGGGTAGCTCGCTTTAAGCGTGCCGAGCCGTGCGGGGCCCGTTTTTGGTTGCGCTTCCACTCGGCCTAGTTTTGGCCCGGGGCTACTTTTTCACCTTTTTTCTGGCCCGACTAAATCGTGGTTCTAGGGCCAGGAACAACCAGGCTGAGTCGGGCTGAGTATGCTAAACTAGAGAGAGAATCGCTGGCAAGGCGGCTACAACATCAAAATGATGCCGAAGTAACAACATACTGATACCGGTTAGTAAAAACCATGAATTAATGCTTTGACAAGTCTGCAGACAGACGGCAGGCGAAAAAACCTTTTAAAATGTGTGTTTTCTAAATGTAGCTTGGCTAAGCTAACGCTATATATGCTCCGACCGTCCACACTCACAGCAACGGCCTATACAGACATAAATAAACCAGCGACTGTATTCTCCATGACACAGGCAGTCTGTGGTTTGTACTTGTTTAACTTTTGTCTAGTTTCTGAACAGATATGAGGAGCTGTGAGCTCTGAGTGCTAAGAGCTAACGGCTGTGTTGTTTTTCTGGGGCTCTCATTGAAGATGACGTCACGGCTCCACCTACACTGCGTTACTATAGTAACTACCCCAGTTCCTAAACTGTAATGGAAGCGCAGCATTAAAGTGAGCCGGGCCTAATAAGGCCTAACCAAACCGAGCGAGGCCTGCAGTGGAAACGCGCCAAAACACTCTTAACAAAGTAGCGTTAGTCCATTGTTAACGTACCCAGCTGTCCGTACTCGGGGCAGCCGAAGGAGTACAGGTTTCCTTTGCAGTCCACCACCATGCTGAACTCAGCTCCACAGGCCACCTTCACCAGGGGCTGGCCATTGTAGGAAATCTATAGGAGTGAGAGAGAGACTGTAAGACAATAGAGAGGGCCCTAACATGACTCCTATGAAGTATCCGAGAGGTAACTGCATTATTATAATGCATCTCAAAACACTTCTTGCTTTCCCTCTGATGCAGATTTGTAGCCATGTCAGAACTGTAACAGTGAATTCCTGCCGACTCGGTGCACAGTATGAAGACTGACGCACTTAAGGCAGATCTAAATTTCACAGACACAAGCTCTACTCTGAAACTGTTAGCCGTCCTCACTGAGCAGAGGATTCAACTGCGCACATCTTACAGCGTCAGACGGATGTGTCCCTCACCAGGATAATACATGTTTGGATGCTTTGAACAATGATTGAATGAGAAACAGTCTAAATGCACATTTTATCTTGCATGTATGTTATAGCATAAGAGATGTTCTTCGGTTTTATAGCATATTGCGACCTGTTTCTGAAATCTTTTTTTCAGTGTTTGTACGGTGTACTATAGTGTTTTAAATGTTTCGACATTTGTATTATGATAATGTTATACGTGACAAAACTAGAAGCTACTCATGAAAAGGGTTTTGGACTAACAAAAAAAATTCATCTTTGGGCAAATGTCATTCTTTCCCATCACATGTTCTCACCACACTGAACAACAGTTTGCAGCAACAGTTCAGATCATAGATTATCGAATGTGTGTGTGACGGTGGTGGCTTACCGGTGCTGGGCTAAGCACTGCATCGGTCTGGTTGCCCTGGCCGAGCTGACCAAGCTTATTCTCACCAAAAGAGTATGCAGTGCCATTCTCTGAGGAGGAACAACATCAGCAAACATCAACGCTCACATTCTGTCTGCTGCTGTTCACAATATTTTCATAGCAGTTAATCCTGAATATAACTTCTGTTGATGTCAAATGTCAACCAAACACATTTTGTGTGGAATTATCACAAGTCCAGAGTATGACGGTTTTCATTCCAAGCAATGACCAATCAAAAGGAACCTGTAACAATGGTGGCTCCGCCTACCTGTGAGTGCCAGTGTGTGGTTGCGTCCACAAGCTGCAGCAACGATCACCTGATCAGCCAGGGCCTCGATCAACTTGGGAGCCTCCAGACGCTTGGTGTCTCCGTGACCCAACTGACCTTTCTCATTACGACCTGCAAATACAGAAACCAAGAGCTCTGATGGAGAACCAATCTACACACTCACTCATAGTTACAGACAGCCGTGTTTGCCCGGTATAATGTCATACAGTTTATGGCTTACACCAGTGATTTTTCAACCACTCCTGCCGTGGGAAACTTCAGTTTATCGGTCCAAAAATATTATTTAGTTAGTAGTAGGGATGCTCCGATCGGCAATTTTGGGGGCGATCGCCGGAATCAGTATCGGCCGATACCGATCGCGCAGGGCCTAAATGGAAGATTTAAACATCACTTTAAATCTTCCATTTAAAGTGATGTTTAAATCTCAGTTAATGCTCATTCACTGGAGCTTCCACAAACAACAATCAACTTAATTATTACATTCAAATGATGTACATTATTCAAGTTTACATTCACTTTGGAGAATAACACGGGAGAAATTTTTTCTTTTCTCTCTCTCTCTCTCTCTCTCTCTCTGCTCAGGGGGTCCCTCTTTCAGTATCTCATGCAGCTCACTGATCCAGTAATGAGTGACCCGACAGTGAAGAATAAATATATTTATAACTAGTTTAGCTTGTTCCAGAGGTAGATAAAATAGCTAAGTGTGTTAGGTCTAACTCTTGTGTGTTGCTCCGCTCACCGGTCCGTCACAGCGGCGGAGCTGCAGGATTTCTGCTTCACGTTGCATTCCGCTATTTTATTGTCTTTTTCGGACACCTTAAAAAACTGCCAGACCGGTGAAGCCATTTTGGCGAGCTTATTTTGACACAGAGAAAAGAAAAGTGTGATGTATTTTACGTCATGCGATCGGCTCTCCCAATCGGTATGTTTAGAGAGCACCGATCGATCGGTAGAGAGTGAGTATCGACCTAGTTAGTAGTTTAGTTATTTAGCTGCAAATAAAATGTAACAGTTCCATGGTGCTAAGCAAGCTTTAACGTTAACTCCAAACGAAACACTACAAAACAAGAACACTGACTATTTTGTTCTCCTGCGTGAACAAACTCAGAAACGGTTCACTTCCATGAGGAAAAACACAAAGAGAGATCTCTCCAAGCTACTTAGGAGCTGAACTTGTAGCCAAATCGAGAGACATGTCTATCAATTATAGTTATATATGCTGTATTAAGCTACGATGTGTTTTTTGTTGTTGGTGTGACGCAGGATTTCTTTAATTATAAAAATGTACCGTTGCTCAAAATAAAAAAACTGGCGTAGTGTTTTGCGTGTGAAGATAGTTGTGACCCGAGTGCAGCATGGTACTTACCCCAGCTCCACAGCTTGCCCTCGGTGGTCATGAGCAGACTGTGTGCAGCGCAGGGCCCAGCCACCACACAGCTCACCTGGACATCACTCAGGCAGCCGTAGCGGTGAGGACCCCACAGATTCTGGCCCAGGTTGCGAAAAGCAGCTGGAAACACAAACCACACATCAAAACATGACACACACGATGGGAGAATCCTTCTGAGAGTGAATACGAGTGAGGCTGCTGGGTCTGGTACTAACAACGTGTGCTAACCAGTGACTGATGTCATCATTGACACTTTAACATACCCCTGTCACAGGAGTGTTCCTCCCAGCTTCAAGACAGCCAATTTGGTCCCAGCAGTCTCCAGTCCAAATCACCCTGTGGCCCTCACACCGATGAGGCGCTTTGAGAAACTTGTTCCCAAGCACATCCAAAACTACCTCCAGCAGGGATGCCAACTCCACTGCACTCACACGTCTGGCATTGTAATCACACATCAGAATGATGTTTGTTGATTTCAGATACATTTCTGAAATCAACAAGAAATGTAGAGTGATGCAGAGTGTTGTACTCAAGTACTACACTCTGCATCTTGAGGTTGGACTCAAATAGAACTTGTATTTTATCATTGCATGTTATTTCATTCCTTGATCATTGTGAGAGAGGAAAGAGAACTTGAAGCCCTCATAATACTTCAATCAAGCCTCATAATTACCATCAAGGTTCAGAGTTATTCTGTCTTGTATAAAGGATTTTGATGTAAAGGGTTTCAGAAAGAACTGAATGTGCACTCATTCCAATAGTACTGTGGTGTCATAGTTCATCTGTTACTTGAACCAAGTTAGATCACCCACAGTCTCCATTCTTTTCAGGACAAGCTGCTCTCACACTTCCACAAGAAGTGCCAACATACCCAACTAAACATTTATATTAAAGTGCACAAATAATTATTTGAATGTTTTTGGTACTTTGGCAGTCGCAGCATCTAACCCATCTCCAAATGGTCTTTGTCTATGCAGCTGCACTCCACCCCCCTACTTCAGTCTCAACAAAGCAGATTTATCAGTATGTCCCAGAGTGGAGAGAAAGGATGGAACCAGGCAGAGTAGAGCGCGCCCCAGGCATCAGCTGGACTGTTGGGGGGGGGGGGGGGGGTTACGGGGACAGATCATGCATGCATATGAAAGAACATTACTGTCACAATCAATTCATGAGATCTTACTGGCTTTAACCCATTTGTGGCATGTGCCAAGCAATCTGAAACAAAGAGACATGTACACCTAGCATATCCCTTATTTCATCCAGTGCCGCAAATACGCTGGATGGAAAATGTATTGATTCTGTGTGGCTGTACAGCATCACACATTATAGCTGAGTGAGGGGTCAGGTAGATAACAGAGTCAATGCTTACATTTAATATCACTACACTGCATCCCAACGAACAGAGGACCACATTAAGATCATACAGGGTGGTTAGAGTTCTTTTTTCGTAACGTTCAGTCCAAGATTCATTAAAGCAACTCTTCATTCTGTTGAAGATACACCTTTCTTTCTGAGACGGAGACAGTCAAGGGAAAGCGCTGGAGTATGGAGATGGTGAGCTCAGCATAAAGACAGGAAGCAAAGGATCTGGCCAAAGTTTAAAATACTCATCCAAAGTTCACCATTTACCCCCAAAGATAAAAAAGTGTTCAAATTGTGTTTCTGTTTTACTACCGCATGGTAACGGTCACATTTCTATATTTTGTTTTCTACAGCAGGTAGTCTACACCGAGAGAGTACAGCGTCACTCACGAGACACACGTTGAATCCTTTAAATCAGGGCCCAAACAGAGGAAAGGCTGTACTGACGCCATTTTTTTTAAATCTGGGTCGAACAAAACTTGAATGATATTGCTTGAAGGTGAATTGGCTATTTGAAAATGGCCTAGAGCATACCACAGGTATGTGTCCTACTATAGACCCAATCAGCTATTTGATATAGATATACATTTAAATGCTCTACCTTGTTGTTTAGGCACCTCCTTTCTTCCAATCAAATCCCAGTTGGTTGCTCCAAAGATCAGCAGTTGACCTTTTATCTTTGAGCAATCAAGTTTCTGTGGAAAAGACAAATGAAAGTCAATAACAGAACAACCTCATGCAGCTGCCTAAACTCAGATGGCAAAACAACTGTATCTAAATGACAGCACGTGAGATTTCATGAATGAAACATTCTGGGATTTGGAAAATGTTACTTTGCTCATCCTGATTACAATGTTTATGGACATTATTTCCATCCATTTATGTTCCGGAAATCTAAACCAATTACAGTTGAAATATATGAATTCATTTATCAATGTAGAGCAAGTAACTGACCTTCTACAATCATATATAAATAGTCTATCCTTGTAGACAAACATAAGATAGCTTTAATAAGAACTCTTCCTGCAGAGGTATCCGCTTTTATCCGAAAGCAGATAAAGGATAAATCATTTAAGAAAACTAAATTCCATACCAAGGGTCAGAATGTCAAACATAACAAAAACACTAATAGACCTACATGTGCAGAATATTAAAAACAATATTATGAGGTACTCATTAAAGTATCATGAATACTGAATGAGAATGTAATGTTTGGTTGTTAACAACTTATTTTCTCCAACAGGAATGGACATACTTAAATTGGTTAAATATGTGTAACGTACATGTTTAAATTGAAATGTAATGCTGCCCTCCTCTAGTTTTCAGGAAGTGCATCAAACCTACTATTTTCTCTTTGACGTCGTCGGCCACAGTGACAGGCTGCAGGCCGGACTTAGCAGGCTTGCCAGGTTTCTTGTTGTTCTCCTGTTCGAAGTCAAAGTCCTCATCACTACTGAAGTCTCTCTCTTTCCTCTTGCCGCTGGTCCGCTTCTTTTTCACCCCACCATTCCCTGAGACATCTGTCACCTTCTTACGGGGCATTTTGTTATCTGAAGCTGGTTGTGGGAAAGACACAGGAGTTGTAGATTATATAGAGTAATAGTAACAAACATAATTAATGTCTACAAAAAAGTATTCATGTTGGAAAAATGGAACAACAATGTGAGACAATGAAAGAAGTGGTTTTGTCTCTGATATGCCAACATCTAGAGGTTCCACATGTACACAAAGAAAGAGGTAATATTACATAAATTGATTTGAAATAAATAACATTCAGTCTTTTCCTTTTTGTTAAATTAACTTTACAAACAAGACCACAGTTCTGAATAAATGCTCCTAACATGCACACACGCGCGCGCACCTAAAAGAGTAACGATACTGTGTGTCTTTAAATAGACTAACGTTCAAATGAGCAGGTTTACTTTATTTACATGATCCAAGTAGCCATTGTAACCTCAATTTTTAAGAACCCGTCATAAGAATGGAGATTTTGGTACATTTTATCAAAATGTAATTCGCTGTCTAATGAAAAGCTAGTGTAAACTATCGGAAGGATAGAAAAGCCCACAGCAAACTAAAACATTTACCGGTGACCGTCTGCTAGCTAGTGTTAGCTGCTAGCTTCATTAAGCTAAGCTGCTAACCACTGACGTTCTTTGTTCACATAATGGTTGGGTAGCAAGCTACGTTAGCTGGCGTGCTAACGTAGAACATGGGACGTTAGTAAGTTAGCGGCTAGACAAACGAGCTAGGCAACGGTTGTCTGCTATAGAAACATAGCAGTTTCTTAAAAACAGACTGAAATTAAAGTGTTTAAGATGTGCAGTGGAGTGATAGGCTTCATTAAGCTAACATCACCTCGCCACTGTAAGCTAACAGGCACTCTCAATAAAGATATGGAAACTAACGTTACAAGAAATGATGCTACAACACAAACTTTTTCAATATATTCTTGGTTAGACACGTTTTAACTTTAGCGTACGTACAATCTCTTCGACTTCGACAAAACATGTTATTTGTAAATTACATAAAGCTAAGAATACATATATGTACCGGTGATTTCCTGATTCAGCAGCTCTCTACCCGTCTCCGGTTTGATTGATTTGAACAAAAGAAGCTGCAGTCTGCTTTCACACCACGTGGTTTGCATTAAGTATTCACACAGGAAACCAAGCACTCACCAATTCTTGCAGCTGGACCCAGAAACAATCAGGGAGTGGTGATCACTCCCTGATTGCGAACTGTCACAGAGAGCAAAAGCGAACTGTCACAGAGAGCAAAAGTGAACTGATCTATCATAGACAAGATTCTGAAAAAGTTTTGGCCATTGAAAACAATTCTTATTGAGTAACAACCACTGGCATAAAAAAGGAACAACACCTGGAACAAAGAGAATGTGACAACAACACTGTTCAGCTTTCTACCATCAAATCAAATCAAGTTTTATTTATATAGCACATTTATAAACGATTTTTGTTCGAGCCAAAGTGCTGTACATAAAATAAAAATAGCCTACAGTAGAGACACTTTACAGCAAATACAACAGCACAGATTGTTCAGAACATCAGTATGAGAAAAACGACACCCTCTATCCTTAGACCCTCTGTCCTTAGACCCTCACATCGTACAAGGAAAAACTTCCAGAGAAAACCCACAGTTTAAAGGGAACATGGGAGAAACCTCAGGGAGAGCAACAGAGGAGGGATCCATGCACTCTCTGTGTCCAAACGTTGGAATCATTATTATAGAAGAACAATAAACACTTTTTGCATTCCAGTGTATTTTTATTAGTCAAAGTTTTAACAGAATTATATATTTAGATCTGTTCGATGAATGTTCAAAATAATAATACGCTTAGTATACATTTGTAAAAACCTTACATTTATTCTAAATAAAAATATATATTTTCAACTTGTCTTTCACTTACCCGTCTCAAGAAAGTGAAATTATTCAATAGTTCACAATAGATTAGAAAAAAGTTGCATTTTATAATTGTATTTGCATTTATTTATCTAACCTGTTTCTCAACGTTATAAAAGATGCACCTCAGTGGAGCTACAGTATCTTCACGCAAATGCATGTTAACTGATTAATTTTCAAATTGTACATTATCGAAGTTGCCATTGTGTGAAGCTTCAGTGGTTAATTTCACAAATGCTTTGCCAGAAACTATCAAGCTGACCAAAACTAAAGAGCCATTAAAAGGAACCCTGGGGAAGCAGTGAAAATGTGAGGAAGACGAGGTAAGGCGTGTGTTTAAGGAATTACATTTTCCAGACAGTTGCACACTTCTCAGCTAGTTGCAAATAACCAACATGAAGCTTATCATTTCCCTTTTCTACCAAAGACAAACCATTTCATCCTCATCAATTCAGAATTACAATCTGCCTCAGTGCATGGTTTCCTGAGCACTGGAAGAGGCGTTTGTAGCAGGATGGGACTTCTTACATCTGAAATCATTCTATGTCGATCTGAACTTGTTTGGTCATGTATGTTCTCTGTAAAAAAATACCCAATGATCTGAGAACTTTGTCAACAGTCAAAAGTAAGCTGAAAACTATTATTTGGTTGTGTTTTTTCATATATATTTTTTGAACATAATGTATTTTAACTGTTATTCTTTTAATTATTTAAATGTAATTGATCTGATTCAATTGATCACCAATTAATCCCACAGACTGTCAATCATTTGATGTCACTTTATTTCCTGGACGTTTCACTTCTCAGATCCTCATCAGAAAAAAATACATACAGGCAAATAGTATGGAGCTATTTCAGGGTCATAAGTTTTGATCATTAAAAAAAATACAATTTATTTGAAAGTTCAAGTTTTTATCCTGAACTTTGAAAAATACAATGATTTATTCAAAATAAAAATAAGTATTTGAAATCATTTTTCAGGTTGAATATTATTTTGATTCAGTTCAGCAATTTTTTTGAATAAAATATTTATTTTCAGATTTCCCTTTTATACATATTTTGATATTTGAATCCTTATTTTTTTCAGTTGCAGATTTTTCGTTTTCAGATTCAAAACAATTATTTTTCAGTTTCAAATCTTGTTTTTTCAGGTTTCACATTGCTTTTCACCTTTAGATCGTTTTTCACTTTCAGATCGTTTTTTTTCGCTTTCAAACTGTTGGCCCTGATGTTGCTTGAGGGGGCGGGGCTTAGCAGACTCCGCACAAAACAACACAGACTATAACACCTCTACTATATATATATGCCGTTAAAAACTGCGCAATATATACCTGGCTGCTAAATCCGCAGAACTGTTACAGGGTGTGTATTATGTAAAATGTGTAACTTTAAAACAATATATAATTTATTTTTGTAATCTTTAATACTTTTTGTATGCATGCTTTAGGTAACATTAAACTGTCTTTGGCTCTTGTCTGCTGTAACAATGTAAATGTATGTCCCCTGTGGGACTAATAAAGGTATTCTGATTCTGATCGCAAAAACCAAGCCAATACTATGCTGCGTTCATGGAGCTACGTGGAAGTGGGGAAGGACAATGCTTAATTGCGGATAGGTAATTTCACATTCTAGCACAGTTTATTACGCTTATACCTTGATTGTTGCCAACTACGATGCTCAACAGCTCGCTTAACGGAACTTTGACGCTTTTTTATTTACCACCAATCACGGGAGTATTGTGTATAGAAAGTGTTGAGTTATATTTCTCGCGCTACCTAACATCCATGAAGGCAACATGACAGGGAGGCCTGCCACTCAGGATGCCAAACTACACTTTGGTAAGCCCCGCCCCCCAAGCAACATCAGGGCCAAAAGTCTGAAAGCGAAAAAAAGGGTCTGAAAGTGAAAAACGATCTGAAGGTGAAAAGCAATGTGAAACCTGAAAAAACAAGATTTGAAACTGAAAAAATAATCGTTTTGAATCTGAAAACGAAAAATCTGCAGCTGAAAAAAATAAGGATTCAAATATCAAAATATGTATAAAAGGGAAATCTGAAAATAAATATTTTAATTAAAAAAATTGCTGAACTGAATCAAAATAATATTCAACCTGAAAAATGATTTCAAATACTTATTTTTATTTTGAATACATCATTGTATTTTTCAAAGTTCAGGATAAAAACTTGAACTTTCAAATAAATTGTATTTTTTTGAATGATCAAAACTTATGACCCTGAAATAGCTCCATAAAATAGCTCCATAAAGGAACGGTGTAACATTTTCCCATAAATACCAATATCACACACTACAACACAGACTATAACACCCCCTTGTTGTTAAATACCAACCATGTGCAATATATTTTTAATTACATTTTCGTAGAGCTTTGACTTTTTTAGCTGAATAAATATTATAACTCTAGATGGTTTTGTTCAGCATTGCCAGCTTCACTGTCAAACTTTATAATAATAATAATAATAATAATACATTACATTTATAAAGCGCTTTTCCTGGTGCTCAAAGCGCTTACAAGCAAGTAAAACAAAATAACAACAAAAGTAGTAAGTGCTAAGCTAGGTGGAATAAGGGCAAGGGGTTAGTTGATTAGGAGTTGAAGGCAAGAGTGAAAATGTGAGTTTTGAGGGATTGTTTGTGTTATGAACCGAGACACAGGACGCAGGACCCAAAAGCAGGACTCGGAGATAGTTGTCCAAAAATAGAATGTTCTTTAATAACAAAAACTAAATCGTATTTTCAAAAAATAGAAAGTAGTTAAACAGCCAAAACTAACTTGTACAGCAACACAAAAACTCACTTGGCAAAAGGTCTAAATCTCAAGGTAGGTATCAGGAGTCAAAAGGCCTAGGTGCTCAGGACATGAATGAGGTCACAGAGGTAGGGGGGGGGGGGGGCAAGGTTGTTGAGGGCTTTGAAAGTGAAAAGTAATATTTTAAAGTCAATGCAGTGTTTGATGGGGAGCCAGTGGAGGTCATGGAGGATAGGGGTGATGTGGTCGGAGCATCGGGTGGAGGTGAGCAAGCGGGCAGCTGCGGTTTGGACATATTGAAGTTTTTTTTAGTGTCAATGCAGGTGATCCAAAAAGTATGCTGTTGCAGTAATCCAGTCGGGATGTTATAAAGGCATGGATCAGAGTTTCAGCAGCGGTCGATGAGAGGGAGGGTCTAATGCGGGCGATGTTCTTTAAATGGAAGAATGCGTATTTTGTGACCTGGTTGACGTGAGGGAGGAAAGTGAGGGTGGGGTCGAGGATGATGCCAAGGTTACGGATGTGAGTGGAGGGGTTGACAATGGAGCCATCGATGGTAAGAGAAAAATCTTGGGTTGAGCGGGTAAGTGAGTTTGGGCCAATGATTATAAGTTCCGATTTGTCACAGTTACGTTTTAGAAAATTGTTTTGCTACCAATTTTAAAGTCAGTGAGGCAGGTGCTGAGCTGGTAGTGTGTGGTTGGAGAAATTGATTTTGTTGAGAGGTAGAGCTGTGTGTCATCAGCATAACAGTAGAACTGGAGTTGGTGTTGACGGAGGATTTGTCCAATTGGGAGGATGTAGATGATGAACAGAAGGGGACCAAGTACAGAACCCTGAGGGACGCCATGATTGACGGGGGCTGTGGAGGATTTGGAGTTGAAATGGAGATGAATTGATGTCTGTCAGAGAGATAGGATTTAAACCAGGAGAGGGCAGTACCGGTAATGCCAATGGAAGGCGGTTGATGAGGATGGAATGGTTGATCGTGTCAAATGCGGCTGTTAGGTCAAGGAGAATGAGAATCGAGAGGGAACCAGAGTCAGCAGAGAGGAGAATGTTGTTGGTCACCTTGAGTAGGGCAGATTCTGTGCTGTGGTGAGTACGGAAACCAGATTGAAAAGGTTCATGAAGGTTATTGCAGTCCAGACGGGATTTGGGAGGCAACAGTTCGCTCCAGAATTTTTGACAGGGCCGGTAGTTATTGAGGGAATCAGGGTTGAGACCAGATTTTTTGAGTATGGGAGTGACAGCAGCGAGTTTCAGATCAGGGGGGACGAGTCCAGTGGACAGAGAGGAGTTAATGACTGTGGTGATAAGATGAGTGAGTTGGGGGAGGCAGGCCTTGACAAGGGTGGAGGGCATGGGGTCCAGGATGGAAGTTGAGGTATTCATGCCGGTGACTTGGGCAACTATGTCCAGTGAGGTAATTTGTCTGAAGGCTGTAAAAGGGTGCCTGGAAGGAGGAGGGTAGGCAGGTTCCGGAAAAGGATGGGTGGTGGACGAGACGGAGGAGTTGGCTATGTTGCTGTGTATTATTTCAATTTTGCTTTGGAGGAATGAGAGGAAGGATTCACACTTTGAGGTAGTGAAGGAGTTGGAGATATTATCCATGGGGTTTATGTTGTGCCCAGCATTCTCCTGTGCTCTGAAATAAAATGTGGATAAGCATAAAACAACACTAAAATAAACAATACAATACTTGTTATTTGTTTTTTGACAACAAAGGTTGTTCATTTGTGTATAAATATACAACACAGGCTATATGCATATATATATATTAGGGCTGTCAAACGATTACAATTTTTAATCAGATTAATCACAGCTTAAAAATGAATTAATCATGATTAATCACCATTCGAACTATGTCCAAAATAACTGCTGTCTGTGCAATTTACTCCGCGCGAGTTGGCAGACTTTATTTTGTTTACTTTAACATAATTTTTCATGGTGGGGACAAGCCATTTCTTGGTATGGCTGTAGCCTACCCCAGCCATACCCTGGCACTGCCACTGGTGGGGTGTATGGGGCAGGCCATTCTGCGCATGCGTTAAATATTTTAACGCAATTAATTCAAAAAATTAATTACCGCCGTTAACGCGATAATTTTGACAGCATTAATATATATATATATATATATATCCAGTGCTGGAATTGGGCCGGTACTCACCGGTACGCAGTACCGGCACTTCTGGTTCTGACCCATGGAGTACCGGCACTTCTTGCTCAGTACCGGCATGCTGGCGGTACTCCGGTACTCATGCACCGTGCCAGTACTCAACACTCTCCCGCCGTTCTTATTATACATCCATACAGTGCTTGAATTGGAATGAAAAAGGTGCCAGTACTCTAAAATTAGCAACTTTTTCAAGTCAATTTTATATATACAGCCCACAAACAAGAATTTGGCTACTATAATGCTGGTGGGTTTGTCTCTTTACTACTGTATATTTTAGAAAGGTTCACTGTACTTAACATTTTTTATGATAGGCAGCGGATATGGCTAAAGCTCAGTAAGGTCAATATTAACTGAAAATATAGCAATCAAAGTCTAGATCTTCTGCTGAAGACACATGAAGCAGAGACCTTTCAGGTGAGAGCCCCTCTGGTGGTGTTCAACATTAATGACAAGGAAACAAAGCTCTGGTCAGAAGCATTTTTTATAAAAAGCTTTAACAAAATTAAGTATTTCTGTACATTTTGAATGCAATCTAACTTTCCAACTCAGAAAACGAAAAACGAAAAAGTGCCAAAAGTCTTCACATGGCTGAGCTGCTTTGCAATATACTTCACCACTGAAGAATACAAATATGTATAAAGTAAACTATGATGCAATCTAACTTTCCAACTCAGAAAAATGATAAAGAGCATGAACAAAGAACATGTAAAAACAAATGCAAAATTTGCACAATCTAAAATGAGAAACTGTAACTGCAAGTAACAAAGTCTGAGCCATGGTAAAGAGTTACATTGAACACCAAGCTGATCAGATAACTCCCTGGTTGGTCTGAAGTCCTTCTATCTCCAGGATCTGTACAAATCGGCACATTATGCCAAAAGTCTTCTCACTGGGTGAGCTGCTTTGCAATATACTTCACATTGTTAGAAAAGGCTCCAGAAGGCCTTGGGGACATCAGTATCAGGGGCTGGAGCTGGACAGGCTCTTTCATCAGCACTTCTCCTTCCCTTTGCCAGCCAGGACCTCACATACTGTTCCGGATTGAACTGTCCTAGTGATGGTCCATTACATTTAATGAAAACCAGGCTGGACAGTCGGCTGACAGAGAGAGCATTCCTTTTTGCAGTAAGGATATCGTTCATTGCAGCTGAATGCCCGCTCACACTCACTAGTGGAGACAGCGATGGTTCGGACTGCTTTCAGTAGAGGCTCCATGGCAGCAGGTGTACGGGATGCCCTGGTTTCCTTGTATTCGCGAAAGCCCTGAACAGTCTCTCTTCTGTCCACTTTCAGCACTTCGCACAAACGTAGCACCTCTACGTCCCCATACTGTACGTCTAACTCCTCTTCAGGCCAACTTCCAGGATGGATAACTTTCATGTCCTGGATTAGCTGATTGTCCCGGGCCTCCCGGCCATGTAATGGGATTTCTCTTGTGCTGACATGAGAGGAGGTTGTGGAAGTCATTCTGTGTCTCAGATTCTCTACCATACTGCGGAAAAACTGACCTGCATGAATCTGTACAAGCCTGCCATTCTCACGCAGGGCAACACCCTTGAAGGACTTCTCAGCTAGAGCTGTATGAACTGTAGTCATGTGTGGGCCAGGCATGGTGACCATGGATTCAAAAACTCGTATTTCTCGAGTTAAGAGCCTATCTGCTGTAGGCAGTGTCATCTCTCTTTTTTGGAGTTGCCGAGAGAGGTCGCTGAGCTCTGTGAGCGCATCGTACATCAGTCCCAGATTGCTGACAAACGTTGCAGATGTGAGCACATCATCCAGGCCCTTGTACTTTGCTCTGTCTCTGGAATCCCTGCTCGTGTCGTTTGCAGCATTTGTGAAGTGATCATGAAGCACTCTGTAGTTTTCCCAGACTGCTCTGACGCTCCTTTCACTTGAAGCCACCCAGCGGATGGACAAAACACGCCCTATCACCAGGAGACGCTGTCCGACTGCTTGCGCACACTGCGCTAACTGCCTCTGATTTTTGGGGGAGGCATGGAACAAGGAATAGAGTTTGTCAAAAAAGATCTGGAAATGATTGAGCCCTGAGACCTCCTTGACCACATCCCCAACTGCCAGCTCTAGACGATGATTGGAGCAGTGCCACACAAACAGGCTTGGGAATTTACTACACAACTGGGTAGCAACGCCTGTTCTCTTCCCTAGCATGACTGAAGCCCCATCACATGCAAAAGAAACGAAACACTGACCTAAAAAGTCCTCGTTAAAATCTCTTCCAAGACACTCCATTAACGCCTTTGTGATGTCATCAGCCGTTGTTCCATCCAACTCGATCAGCTCCCAAAAAAACGTTTCGGGCTCAGCATCAGCTAATGCTGAGCGTAGACACACTACAAGCACCGTTTTACCACTAATAGTGGTAGATTCATCGACCAAAACACAGAGTTTTCTTTGGTTTTCTGTAATGTCTTTTGCCATTTTTTTCTTCAGCTCATGAGCTATGTGGTCGATGATTTCGCCACAGGTTTTATTGGAGTGCAAAACCCTGCCCACGTTCAGCCCATTCAGTTTCTGTACATTCAAATCAATTGGCATGTCTGTGAATGGCCGGCTATGTTTGCCAATTTTATATGCCGTTCGAAAAACTCTGATAGTGGTGTCTAATTCAGATTTATGCATAGACTGCACTTGATGTTGAATAGTTTCACGTGAAGCAGATGTAAGGATGTCAGCAGCTTTTACATGGGCTTGTGATTCTTTATGTTCTTTGATTTTTTTTTCTCAGGCTAGCTTGTTGTGTGCCCTTGTCAACACCGAAATGAGACACTGCACACTCACCCCATTCAGTTGACAGTTTCAGTCCTTGTCCAGTGTGTATTCCCAAAGATTTGACATCTCTGCATATCCGACATCCTAGCTTCTTATCTTTAAGAAGGAGCCATGCATTGGTCTTGCAAAAATATTGCACCTGGTCCGTTGTCCAGCAGTCAGGTGCATCGCTTTGCCCGGTGATGGTGGTGGCAGTTGCGCCAGCAGCAGCTAACGTTAGAGGCTCTGGAGGAGGCGGCGGAGCTAGTGCTAATGCTAATGCACTAGAACTTGGAGCAGGAGGATCAACCAAAGAAAGCTCCCCATCAGACACAATTTCCAACACAGGCACAGCATTCTCTGTATTTGAAGTTTCTTCCGGCGACAACCGCTGTCTTTTTGCACTTTTATTAATCCACGCTAACATTTTAGAAATGCTAATTTGTGACGTGACTTGCTTTCCTTCTCTCGGGGGCGTGCCTGCTCTGTTCTATCACTCTACATAGCCACCCACTGGGTGGGAGTTGCACTGCATAAACACAACACACGTGCATCTAGGTATGTAAATTGTAAAGCATTAAAACATGGTTTTACTAACAGTTTTCAGTATGTTGTTACTTCGGCATTATTATTATTATTATTATTTTGAAACGTGTATTACTATTAAATCACGGTCAAATAGGTTAATTTTGACATAGTCGTTTCCACCACAGTATTTACATGGAGAAGATAAGCCCCGCCCCCTCTCCAGCACGTTCTGTTTGAATGACAGGAGTAAACAGCTGACAGCCGCTGTGAAACTCCAGCGGTTAGAGCGACGAGAATGTCCGTTCGGCACCTCATGACTCATCTACTGAGTACCGGGCGGCTGTATATATATATATACAGTGGCGACTGGTCATTAGGGGCAGGTGGGGCACAGCCCCACCTAGTGTCAGCAGAAAGTATTAAAAAAAATTAAAATATATATAAAATATATTTTAAGATCATGTTTAATCATCTGATTCGTCTCATTGCTGTTTTAGTCTGTGTTCTTCTAATTAGTGTCTACAGTGTGTGCCTATTGAGCTGTTTAGAGCCGTGTGGGACAAAACCCGATCCTGCCCCTCCCTCTCCCTGTTTAAGTCAATGGTGACTGTAAAAACTACACTGCGCATGCTCAGAATATTTTCCTATTTAATGTGTGTGGCAAAAAAATAATGACCATAGGGGCAGAGAGCTGCCATCCCCACCATACGTCATCTCACATCATTCAGAGCTGATTGGCTGTAAGTACGTGTGCCGCGAAAAGTGTGGTGTGTGAAGAGGAGACGAGAGAGCTGCAGTGACGCGTCCTAAAACCAGGTAGTAAGCTGCGCATGGCTTCCCTCGACAAAAAAGCAATGATATTTCTCCATAGGATTTTAGAAAATAGCTCCAAATAAGATCTGTGGGAAACAAACCTGTTTGATAAATGCACGTTTTGTTCAGCCGGATAATATCCACATGTCTACCATACTTTTATAATTTTTGAATCATAAATATATCGATTAGATCAGATTTATGATAGACTTTTGAAACTACAAGAACATAAGGAGGACTTTTACAAAAAAGTAATAGAGATGTTTGTCCAGAAGGATAGGCCAATGGACTTCATCTTCAAGTCAAGGTAAGACCGCAATTTTATTGAAAATGGGATCTTACTAAGAGAGAACAAT